GTTGGGGCTGGATGATCTCTGAGATCCCTTCCAACGCCTAGAATTCCATGATTCTTTGATGATGACTGAAGAGTAACACGCTTTGGGCACGTGGACTCTCGATCAAGCTGTGGTGGTGAGCAGCAGGGGAGGAAAGTGTTTACCCAGAAATTGGCCACAGGCAGGGATGGAAGGAAGAAATGGCAGTTGTGACCCTGACAGTGACAAGGAAAATCTTCTTTGGAGTCCGTTATGAAAACCAGATCATATTCCCGGACAGAGATGGGCTGTGTGTTGGATGCAAAGCTTAGAAGAGGAGCACAGTGCTCTGAGTCAGGACAGGAGAGGTGGTTGAGTGCCCTGCAGCAAGGTACAGCAGGGACTTTGGAGCTGTGGGAAAATGGTCTGTGCTGTAGATGGTGAGATGTGCAGAAGGTGAAAGGGGCAGAAGGTGAGAGGTGCAGAAGGGAGAGATGGAGGAGGGGAGAGGGGCAGAACCGGGAGAGAGAAGGTGAGAGGTGCAGGAGGAGAGAGGGGCAGGAGGGGAGAGGTGCAGAAGGGGAGAAGCAGTTTGCTTGTGGTGCAGACACCTCTCTGTTGGGAAAGCTGTGTCTGCAGCAGCTAAGGCTAGCAAGGGGCACTAGAGCCTGTGACAAGGAAGTAGAGTTGAATTCACTGGCTGTGGTATTTGGCAACAGCAGCTTCTTCAGGAGGAGGCTGCAGGAGACCTGTTGGTGGGAGATAAGGCTGAGAGACGTGAGGAAATTGGAATAGATTGTCAGTAGGGGATGTGTGGGAGGGCACAACTTGTGTTGCAGTATGTGTGAAAAACAACCAAACTGAAACAAAGCTCTTGGTTGGCAAAGTGTTAGGTACTCAGCAGAGAGGGGGAAGAGTGTTGGGAGGAATGAGTTAGGGATCTGAGGGGAGGCAGGCACTCCAAGCTAAAGCATTCAGAAATGGGCTCAGGAGAGCTCCAGAGGTGCTAGGATAGCTCGAGGTTCCCCAGGAAACCCTTCTGATCTTTATTGGCATCCTCGGCCAGCACGGTGGGTCTCTGGTTCCCCTGGCTGTGCATGAGAGCACACTGCCAGCAGCTGGTTGTTCCTGCTCCACGTGGCTGCAGCTGGGGGCATTGGCTCTGCAGGGATCAGTGCTGGCTGCCCAGTGGCTTTTGGCACTGCTGCACCAATGGTCCCACTGGACCTTTCCATCTCCACCAGCACCAGTGGAGTCCTCGCCTGGGGAGTGAGACATCACTGCCTGGCTCTGGAGATGGATCCTGCCAACAGGACTACTGGCAGACCCCAAGACAGCCCTTTGCCAGGCACTGTGACATGGCTTGGGAAGGGAAGCATGAAAAATGGGCTGCAAGACCTGAAATGTGCTCAATATCAGTCTTCTTTCCATCTGCTTTTACATGATTCAGGCAGACTTTGCTCTGCTGTTGTTGGCTCCTGTGGTTAGCTGTGTGTATGCACTGACTGGGTGTATCACTTTTTGGATTTTGACACGCACCAAGTTTTCCCCCTTGCAGCTGAGAGATGTGTTCTCCCTGACCAGTGTGGCATTGCCCAGCACAGCACAGCTAGGAGGGGGTGGCAGTGTCCTTTCCCTGGCTCCGTCTGGTTGAACAGCTGATGGCTTCAGCCTGCTGCTGGCACCTTGTTTGTCTTAGCTTACTGTTACCTTTCTCCTTGCAGACTAGCCAACACAAAAGTGACCGTGCAGGCTGCGTTTGCAGATGACTTTGACACCTCCAGGGCTGTTGCAGCAATTATGGACCTCGTTCACCATGGCAACAGACAGCTTAAGGCTGTTACTAAGGTAACCCATTAGGATACAGAGACCAGAAAATGACAGCTGTCCACTATCCCACTGTTTAATGCAGACAGATTATTGTTCACAGAAGCAACCAGCAGAAACAAAGCTCCATAAATTGTTGACCTTAACAGAGCCCATTTGTCCTGCCCGTATCCCAGGAATTGTGCATGGCTATTGTTCTGTGCTTTGTTGTGTCCAGAGGGTGTTTCTTTCCTGCTGCCCTGTCTTATTTAACCTTTTGGAAAGGCCTGAAGCTGCTGTGGCATGCTGCTGGTCTCAGTGCTGCTGCTGTGTCTGTATCTGCTTGGTGTCCATGCACAGAAGTCAGGCTGAATGGGGAATGGGGATGGTGTCTACAGGGGCTCTGGGGCAGCCCCAGGCCGTGGGCAGCTCAGCCTTGGGGGCTGAGTGGTTCCTGCTCCAGCAGATGATAACTGTGGCCTCAGCATCCCTGCATGAGTCTGTCATCTTTGGCCAGCTGGGGCCCTGGTCAGGTGCTTTCAATGCTGACACAAAGAAGGCATCTGGTAAGGACAAGACTTGGGCAATGCAGACAATCTGAAGCACTTCTGGGTCCCCTTCTGCTGCTCAAGGTGTGCAGCTCAGCCCTGGTGCCCCTCGGGTCACTGTGCCCTCTGTGTGTGCTGTGGAGGAAATGCTGAGCGTGTGGCAATACCTGATTGTGAGAGAATTAGCCTGCTGGCTTAGAAATCCTCCTCCTGCTGCTCCTGTTTTGGCACTGGCTTTAAATTCTGTCCTTAGCCTTTGCTTTGTGAAATGTGTCTGAGCATATCCCTGCCCCAAGCCACTGCAGCAGGGATCAGTGCCACTCAGAATGCAAACAGCCTCGTTTGGTCAGTCACTGCTCCTTTCCCCATCAGCAGATTAGCTGGGAGCCAGGGGGGTGTTTGTGGCAGCTGGCTGGGGTGTCTGCTGTGGAGCTTTGCTGAGTGCTCTGAGTGTCACTTCTTGCTGCCTCTGCATGTGGTTGTTCTCCTTAAGAACTGTGAGAAAATCCACCTAAACACAACTACTTGTTCCTCCCTTTAACCTTCTTGCCATCCTTCCCTTAGCTGGCACATTCCTATTCCTTCCTCTCAGTGAACTCTTCCCAGTTCAGATCTTTTGCATGTTTTATTACTTATTTCAGACCCTAATGATGCTGGATGAGCTCCAGTACCAGCTGCTGATTTCCTTGTGTGTGTCATCATATTTTAGGCAGGGGGTTAGTCCCGTCAGTTGCTCCTCAGTCAGTCATTTAACCTTGGTGCTGCTGCTGGTGCTCCCAGGGCAGGACAAGAGGCCACAGGTTCTCCCAAACCAGTGTCCACATGGATCAGATCAATAAGCCACTCAAAGGAGGATTCAGGTTCAGTCTCTTCTAGGGCAGGTGCCTGTGAATTTGGAGTTTTTGTTTGCACACACACAGCCCTGTCATGCCCAGAAGTGCTGCTTTAGGTCCAATTCACTGCACACAGGCAATGCTTGGCAGCTTCACTCATCTCTCCTCCCTGCACAGGCTGGTGACAAGCTCTTCCCCTCCCTCTCTTACTTCTCCCTTTGTGCTGTGAGGTGCTCTCACACCTCTATGAGATTGCCTGTCTGGGCAGGTGGATCTATATCATTAGTGATAGTTTTTCCCCTTGTTGACTAGGCTGCAGGGAGAGTTCTGGTATGTATTGACTGGACAATCTCTTCTGAGTGTTTTTTAACAGGATGCTGGATGTCCTCGGAGCTCTGTTGTGTATGGGAGCATTATTTCCTACATAGAAGGCTTTTTCAGTGCCCTTGGGATGTCCTTTGGAGAAAGGCAGGTATGAAACATCTCTCTGTGTGTTAGTGCACAGTAGCAGCCTCAGTGTTAGGTTTTAAAGATGCTTTCTGAAAGCATCAGGTGAAACCAAGTTATTTATGGTTGTAGTAAACCTTTCTGCACCACTTGCAGTCTCTCCTGGGATGTTTCAGGAGAACCTGTGAGCAGGTGGAACAAAGTGTGAACTTTTTCTTCTCGGGGTACTCCCATGTGGCTTCTGCACCAACTGTGCTGTGAAAGTGAAAGCCTGAGGAATGAAGCCATGAAAAGTCAGCACTGAAGGCCTTTAATCTGGTCCTGTTGTGTGTTTGGCTTTCCCTCAGCTTCTTCCTTCTGAGCCTGCACCCAGGCTGGCTCTGTGGCTGTGTGGGTGTTTGTGGTCCTGCTGCTCTGATGGGATGTGGGGACAGGAGCTGCTCTGCCTGAGCTGTCCTGGGGTGTGGGGAGGGCAGCAGGGAAGGGGTGCCCTTCCATCCCTGTTTTTTTGGAAGGATAGGAATGGGGAGAGGAAAAAAAAAAGGAGAGCAAATCTGCAAACAAATCAGTGCACAGGGAAGGGAGTGCTGAATATTGAGGTGGTGCCCTGAGGTGTGGAAGCATTTAAGGTGCCACAGGGTGTTCTGTGCTCCTCTCCTGCCCAGGTGTGGAGCTGAATACCAACAAATGGAGAACTTTCTTTGGAGAAAGGTTTATTTTGGGGAAGGGGAGAGGAGGATAAGAAAATGTAAAGAGCATAATTCATCCTTCAGCCAGGCATGGTGATAATGCATTGTGGTATAATCATAGCGATAAATGCATTGCTTTGCCTCTGTTTTGCCAAAACATTCCTTTCAAACAATGGTTGGATGTGACTTGGCTGTGAGTTACTGTTTACAGATTGTGGTCTGTCCTGTTATTCTTTAGTGGCACTGCAAAACACTCTTACTTGCCTGTAAATTGGGTGCAAAGTCCTTCCCCCAGACTGGTCTGTCCATGTGCAGGTGTCTGCTGCTCCCACACTTCTGCTGGAACAAGTGTCTGATGCTTGGCATTGCTGTAGGCTGGGCTAGGTCCTCTGTGGCAACAGGATCAGCAGAAGATGCTGCTCTGAGGTAGGCAGGAAGGAATTAGAACCATCAGGGTTGGAGGAGACCTCTTAGACCATTGAGTCCAACCATTAACCTGTCACTGCTGGGACCCCTAAACCCTAAACTATATCCTCCAACATCAGATCCAGAAGGAGCAGCACCTCAGGCTCTTCTCTGTCCCTCAAGGAAGATTAGAGAAAAGTTCTCTGGGTTTGGGGAGGTTTTCTGTAGATACAAGGAGAAATGATAGACTAGAGGCTTAATGCCAAAATACTTCTTTTTCCTGGTTTGTGTTTCATGAAGGAGTCCTGGAGCTCAAAGGCAGAGCAAGTGGCTGCTGCACTCTCTAGGTCTGCAGCTGAGGGGCTGTCTGAGCTGGTGGCTGAGCTTCTCTTGCTGTGTCAGATCAGAGAATTCTAGAATTTTAAGGGCTGGAATGGACCAGCCCCAACTCCCTGCCCTGGGCAGGGACACCTCCCACCACAACAGGTTGCTCAAGGCTCATCCAACCTGGCTGTGAACACTGCCAG